ATTTTAGTGTGAATTAGATGCAAAAACTGAATTTAATTCTGTAGCATTGAAATGAAAAAGTGAAAAAACAACAACAATAGCACGGCCACACAGAGCTGTACATCTATGCGTGCTGATGCATACATACACATATACGCTTTCTTCATTCTTTCATTCCATTGCTATACGTATCTCACTGGTCAACAGATCTATGTAGCCATGTTACTGTTGTTGTTTTTTTTCTCTTTTTCGATTCAATTCATTGTAACTAAATTGAGTTCAACTATGGAATACAAGATGGCACAGATGAGGGGAATTCGCATTTTGTCTCTTCATAGGCTTAGCCGGTTGCTACGTGCTAAGTATTTACACCAACACTGTTCATGTTTGCACAGGTTCAATGTATCACATGCAAACAAACACACATTTCGTCGAGCCATTCCAATGCACTTTGGTTCGTTCCGCTGGTGTAACATTTAAATGCTCACATTTCAACCGACATATAATTGTTGTTTTATGTACAAGCAGACAAAAAAAACCAACAAACTACTGTATGTAACGACGGTCTTTGGTCGATTGGTGAACGAATTTCAGAGGGAAAAAACCCTAAAATGCATCCATTAAAATATTTTACCGTGTAGCGAACGAGAAGACATTTACGCAAAAGAAACGAAAATAAAGACGAGATTTTTGGTTGCAGCTGCTAACCAACACACATACAAATGGAGAAAGACATGCCACACCGGTTGACACAAAGTCAAAGTACGATATGAATGCAGCACTCCATTTTCAAAGATGCACTGAAAATCTCACTTTCCTGAAAAGGAAAAGAATAATACCATTTCTCATAATTAAAAACAAAATAAAACAAATCCGTTTGATTTTGAGAAATTATGATTTCTTTTGGACGATTTGCAATTGAAAGTCAAAGGAGGTTCTTTTTTAATCTAAAAAAATATGATTCGTTCCAATTCTCTCAACATTAGGAAGTTCTTCAGACAAATTAAAATCACTTGAAAATCTTGATTACGCGTTTTTACACTGTAAAGATGATTCATCACAAAACAAAACCATCGAAGAAAAAATGTTTTAATTTATCTTCCTTTCAAAGTTGATTTTTTCTATTGGGATGATTTCCAACAAGTTGCATTCAGTACACAGGTAAAATTAATCTGTGTCTGTTCGAAGAGACTGTGTAATGTGCGCGCGCGCACACACACGTTCTGTTCTTAACATGTGCAAGATCATTTTAGATGGGTTCAAAAAGCATACACACACATATACACTTACTTAAACCCGAATAAAAAAAAGGAGTCTATATGAATGATGATTCTCTCAAAGTTTTTATTAAATACACTTAAAACGATATAATAACAACACCCGAATGCATTTCAATGGCAAGGAATCTGTCGACACACAATGATGATGATCGTCAACAAAACAACAGCACATGAAAATCAATGTAACATCTGCTCAGCATTTCGGTCAAGTCCGAAAAAAATGATCCGATCAACCGAAGAAGAAACATAGAGACATAGAGAAATCACGGTGCATCGGTGCCTGTCGAGAAGCGATTGCATGTACCACTGAAGAAATAATAACAAAATAATATTTTATATGGAAATGTGACTTGAACAGGGGAGAGAGAAAAAAAAAATGTGAATTCACTGTGCGTTCGTTCACCGGATCACATTCAGTGCTGCGCATGATAAATCATCTCAACAAAAATCAAGCACAACCAAACAAAGCCAAAATCAATGCACAATGCCTACATGCAATACAATTCTGTGACGGCCCGCATCAGTGGTATGTGTGAGAGTGCGTCTGAACCGCATCGAGAGAGAAAAAAAGGAAATGGATACATAAACATCATTTAATGGCATGGTAAAGTTCTTGAATTTTCGACTCAACATAAAATAACCAACACCACATCGATACATACATACGTGTATGTGGTGAATTTAAATGCCATTCGTATTTTTCGTCCTTTCAATTGTATTGCATTCGGTAATATCTTTTTTTCTTCTTTCGTTTATTGTCTTTGGTCTACCTTTTTTTTCTCTGCATTTTATTTCTTTGGATTTTGCTCCTTCTCTCTCTCTCTCGCTCGCTCGCTATTCTGAATTCTATTTATGGGTAATTTTTTTCTTCTTTTCATTCTTGTTTTCTCGGCACTGTTTTGTTTTCATATTGGCTTGTATTTTGTTTGTCTTTGTGCCAGGACAGAGAGCAGATGTTCCTTAAAAATGCACACACGACGCACAATCAAAAGCGGACAAAAAAAAGTAACACCAAATATGTGAACACAGGAAAAAAAAATGATCCGAAGAAAAAGAAATCACTAGAAGCGTCGAAAGTGCATACGAAATATCGATTGGACCGTGATTATTTTGAAGCATTAGAAAGAGAGAAAATGAAAGACGAAAGGGACACGGACAACAACACCAAATTGTTTTCGTCAATTTTTTTTCTACTTTAAAAAAAGGTGAAAAAAAAATCCCTAACAAGCTTAATAGGTTTTTGCTGTTTTTTTTTGTCTTGCTCTGTGTGCCACTGCCTCAATTGCTTTAAACAACATACAACCAATCACGTGTTGGCATGCAATACACAACCTGAACCAAAGATGACATGATTGACAAAGTGTCAATATCTCTTGTGTACTCTTGTATGAATCTGTATGTCAATTACAATATACACAAGAATCAGAGCGGAACTGTGCTTGTTTTTTTTTCTCTCACATTCCTTCAAAAAATTGTAATGAAAACATTACATGTCTAAAAATTGCAATTGAACAAAAAAAAAACGTTGCCGAAAATCAACGAATTCCGTTCAAATGCTTAATGATCAGAAAAAATCTCGCAAAATTCATGACTTTGCACAATTCGATGTTGAAAATATGAATAATAATTTGTTGCCTCGCATTTATCATCGAAATGAAAATGTGACTAATTTTCGCTGAATTATACGCGAGGATCTTCCTTTATTCTTTTCAAATCCCGTACGATTTTGGATTTAAAAATAGCCGCAGATAGTATATATTTACATGGCATCCATAAAGTGTCATTGTACATTTTAAAAATACACACAATTTGACAGAACAACGTGAACGAGGCTAAGCACTCACAAACAACACGTTTGATTGCATATACAAATGAGAAGAGAGCAGTAAAAAAACGAATCGAAAATGATCTCAATAAAGTTTGCACTAAATTTAGCAGAATGCTTTGATAAAAACCTTTGTTGTCCAACCACGACCTAAGCAAAGAAATAAACAATCTCAATTTCCTTGCCATTCTTTCATCCTTTTCTCCTCATGCCATTTACCTATTCGTTTCTATTGCTTTGGTTGTGTGCTATTTGTTGAAAGAAATATAGATAGCGCAAGTGCAGTCTATGCCATGATTTTGAGTTAAAAAAGTGCATCAACAAAGCAACTCTGTTGGCCGCCGATCATCACTTGGCTGATAGAAAAAAAGAGAGATAGAGATATATATAAACTCGTAGCCTTTCAAAAGCTATTGTTGTAATTATGTGTGTGATTATCGTGTGGTTCCACTTCACTCGTCCGTGTTCTCTTGTGTCCATGCATTTAAAACAAAACGAAAACCCATCACAATCAATGCATCTATTTTATATCACATATTTATTTATATACAAAAAAAAATTCATTTTAAATTCGAAGCCATGAAGCAGACCAAGTGCGGAAGAGTGGAAAAATGAATCGTGTTTTTTTTATTATTGTTTCTGCTGATGATGATGAAAATCGCAGATACACAAAGAGCCCGATATTTTTCTCGATACTAAAAATAAACGTTAAAAAAACAATCGATAACAAATGAAACCTGCTATGTAACAGCACTAGTAGTGGCAGCACATCAATTTGCACATTTGAGTGTTTCGAACAATATAACAGATCAGTCAATTCCGCTAATACCGCTATTCATGTATTATTTTGCACCTATTTAAAAAAAAATTGCACCATACGAACATTGTTTAACATTTTAATTGAGGTCTTTACTACGGTTTTCTCTGGTCTGAATTAAATATAACATGGACATCGGCAATAATAATGTCATTATCTGCTGTAGAAAAAAAAAACAATGTTTCAATGCATTAAATTTGATATTTACCGATTTGTTACCGATTATGACGGTGATTATTATTTATTTGTGTTTGCCGTTTGCATATATGCACAGTGAACAAATTGCATATGATGAGCTTTACAGCGAAAGCAAATACAAATGAATGTAGTTAATATTTCTGAATTTCCGTGATGAAAAAAATACTGTATATTTTGTTGTTGCAATATTCAATTAGATAAACCGGAGGCTACTCGAAATATGATTAAAATCCAAACCACATTGACCTGTCAAAATTGCGCTGTTTGAACAAATTTATTCAATTTCGAATCGGTGGCGATGGTAAACGCTTCCAATAAACCGTCACTTTATTTAACCTTCTATAAAAAAATATCTATATATAAGTCGATAATCACGTGCATTCAGTTATTATATTTAAGATGCTATCACATTTTAGAGCCGTATAACAGCCACCGTCTCTTTTATGGCGCCGCATTTTTTTTATGAAGTTAGAACCTTTTTCTTCTCTTGTCGACTTTCTTTTATTATTATTGTATAACATTGCTTTTTTTTTGTTCTCATCGATATCAGACTTGCGGCACTTGCGTAACTTATACAAATTACACAAGACATCAAGCGATAGCGAAAAAAATCTATTATTTTTTCCATCTTTTATGGGAGCCAGGTCTTTCATTTTTCTCGATTTTCTTCTTGCAAAATACGGTTTTTGTGACAGAAAACTTCTGCAAAAATCTAAAGTGATGAAAATTGTCATGTAATAAACGCCATTATTACAGTGCACCATTCTCTATTTGAAAAAATGAAATCTATGAATTTCGAATTAAATTACATTATTTTGTATCCTTGCTCTTTTTTTCTCGCTTCCTTTCGATTCGAATTTAACTAACTATTATACTTTTTTTTTTCTCTTCTCTTTTTCAGAATAAACTTAGTTCACATGCAACAATACAATTTTTGGGACATGATGGGGTAAGTTCTTTTTTTGTGTCTATATCCGCGAATGTGTATTTCATTCTGTGCATAAATTATTCGAAGAAGATTTGGTTGTCTCATGCCTTTATTCGCGCTGCGTGTTGGTTGGGTGGTTTTTTTGTTGTTTTCAAGTTTTGTTCTGTTTTTTGCTTGCTTGCATTGCTGTTCGCGGAAGTGAAATTTAAAATAGTATTATTGTAAAATGAGCACACAGCAGCGGCAGCAGCAACTATACGCTTCCTCACACACATATATTATATATAGGTTGAATCAAGCGCGCACTCTCAAAAGGCTATTGTCGTGCCATCGTTTGCATGCATTCTTTTGAGAGAGACTTTCATTCTATAGACTTAATCGCGATGTTAAAACACATCCATGCATTTATTTCGATACCGGTATTGTGCATTGCACAACATTTAATGTGAACGAGTAAAACCGGCACGGCGACAATCAACACAAATCCAAAGGACTTTCAGTCACAATTCAAGACATTTTACATGGAAAAGGTCAATGGAATTTCATTAAAAATCCTAAAAACGACGAAAAAAGGTGCCAGCTACCAATTTTTTTTTCAACATTTGTTTGTCACTTATTTTTCCGCCATAATTGACCGCCAATGGAATAAATCACGGTTTTACATATTCATATGACGGGTTTAAGGAAACTCAAAACAGCGACGACGACAATTTCGCTCTTTCATGTGTCCAAGTGGGTAAAACAAATGGCTTCCTTCGTTTGCTGACATAGAAATGAACGAACAAAAAAACAACAACATTGTCCCTATGTACGATGCCAATTTCAATGTTGCTGGAGAATGAAACATGAACATACGGAATCTATAACGATACCGCGAAAAATACGAGAAAAAGAAATGAAATAAAAAAAATATAACAAAAAGCATGCAATCAAATGATATTCATGAGTCGCCGGTTCAACTATTTTATATAGAACGGTATATGGAATTGGCTTGAGATTTTCTCAAGCTTAAATCAATCGGAGCTCAAATGTAGCAACATTATTTTACGCGCATTCACACAGCACAAAGCACAAAGCACAATGAGATGGAGAGAGAGAAAGCGCGCGATACACCGAGAGTGAGTGAAACATAAATTACACATTGCAAATGGTAACAACTGTATCGCTTTTGCATAGCAAATGAGTACATGATGACGATGTTGATAATGACGTCGACAATGCGACCATGCAAACATACATAAAATTCGAGTGTGGTAATGCCGTTCACCATTTACGAAAAGTGCCTAACGATGTTTTTGTCGTTTGCCATCACACTGCACCGCTGTGTAGAAATTCGGGTCGCGACCGATAATAATGATGATAACCGATATAATATGTAAACAATGTGACATTGTTACACATTGTACACATTCATGCAACATATTAAACACGATCAACGGTCACATACACTGTGAAAATTGCATTTCACCGCAAATGCATTTTTGTATTGAATATTTGATTTGACAATCGGTTTACATGCGTGACAACATTCAACAACATGCATACACACAACAACTACGTTCTTAAAATCGAATCAATGAAAATGTATATGTACATTCATCTAATTCAATTAGATGAAGTCAAAGCAGAGCTATCATCATATTTCCGTGTAAACTGACCTCATAAAACGACCACGAACCACTTCCTTATACATTGATTAAAAATTATTTCGACTTACGACGAAATTCAACGAAATAGAACCAACTATATTTTAGTAAATCTCTGATTTTTTTTTAAAAGACAATCGCATGAAAAGCCAATTAAAAACGATTTCGCAAAGAATATTAGCACAGACAGTAAGCAGATTCACACAGACAAATGGACAATTTTCTCTTTTTTTCTCTTGACTTTCTCTATCTCCATCGAAACCAATGTGAAATTGAATGAAGTTTATTCAATGAACAGCAAAAACAAATGAAATAATAAAAATCAAGGTACAATTACATAAAAACGGGCGAACAAATAGTAGATAAATCGGATTTGTTGTGCAATTGGATTTTCGGTTTTCGTTGTGTGAGCGCACGTTCGTGTTTGTGTGTGTATCTGTGTTTATTGTTAAATTCATTTGTTGAATGAAGTGCAAATGATTTGGGTTCAATAAAACCAGGTAGAGAATGATGTCCATGATGACAAAAAAAAAAGAGAGACAAACACATAAACGATACAATTCAAGTACATAAATTGTGTATAATAAAATAATCCATGATAATTCTTTTTAATTATACAAAGTGTGTGAATGAAATATAAGTGATTTCAACAAGAAAAAAACAACCGATTGAATGCATGCATTTTAATTTGATAATTGGTCAATACATATACATTGTTCTCACGTTTGTGTCACATTTTTAAATGAGACCGTCGATTCGCCGCACAATTTCACTCAGTTATAAAAAGAAGTGGCTATTGTTAAAGAGCTTCAAACTAATAATAATACGAACGAAATAGGATTACGTAAACCAAACAATGAACATGTTATGCTTTCAAGGATTAGAAGTAAGAATTTCACTAGTTGCCTTGAATGGTTGCGATCAACCGAGTGCAACACCGTTCGATTGAAGGCTGCTGAATTAAATGTAAAGTTCAAGGCTTGTCGGCAATGATTTCGGCAGTTTCGTTGGTTTTTGTCGTGAGACGAATGCTCAAACAAGACAACCAGTACAACAAACAATAAAGCGATTAAGCACCAAAAGCCACTCACAATAATTCAATAATAATGTGTAAGAACAAACGTATTTATCATTGCCACAATCTTACTTCCACACATATAACTTGGTTTTCTTAATTTGACCGACACATCCGTGTGATCAAATTAATTTACCAAATCAAAGGAAATTCGTTTCATTCCATTAGATATACTCTCATCTCCCTTTTGGATACACACAACCTTTTTATCTTTTCGGTTTATTTCTGTGTTTTTTTGTTTATTTCATCATAAATCGGCAATTAAATTCAGTTGTTTATTATACATGCGTATTTCATAAAAATAAAATTTCAAACATTTGATATATATATGTGTATGTACTTAAACAAAGAGGCCAAACAAACAAAAACACATTGACAACTTAAAGTGATTTGTTTTTGTAAGCACTTATTGTTCAATTTATTTAACCTCATAAAAAAAAATGACTGAGCTCTCAAACCATACGAACGAAATTAAAATGTTAAAGAAACACACAACCATAACAATATGCCATAGAATGATATACGAGAATATTGTCGTCACAATCATAAACAAAAATACTTTCATATTTGATTTGATGTGGCGCACGATTCAATGTACGTCATAGGTGTTGCAGTTTTTTTTTTGAAATTTTAAACGGCCTGCCACCGTGTTTGACAGTTGCGACCCTTGACAATCAACAATGAAACAACAATACAGTAACCATTCCATCGAATGGAATCGAATGCAGTTTATTGAAAATTGCACACAAATTCTTGCAAAATCGAATAACTCCATTAATAATATGCATTTGTGCAAATTAAACTGATATATATTTTGTGCGAATTCGAATGTGACAAATACGGCGATTAGGTATATTTTAATTCCTCGATGCCATACCGTTTAAAATTGCAGGCAGTGAAAGTAGTAGAATTAAAGAAGAGTCATTCAAATAAACATATGTTGAAACTCACCGGGGTTGCGCATATTTTCCATTCAAACACATAATTTGCACAAATTACCCAAAATACAATCGGTTTCTGGGAAAAACCAATGCTCAAACACATCTACATTCACATCAAACACACAATATACCGTACATGCTAATTGGTTTTGGACTAGCCAAATCGTACGAGGCCCCATGGGATATCGAATTCAAGTCGGCATTTTATGAATGGAATCGTATGTCTAATGATAATAAAAGCTCTCTCAGTTCGTTTAATTGCCATATTTGCGTTAAATTGAATTTGATTTGAATGCAATGGTGGATGGACAGTAAATTTTTTGGTGCCCACTTTGCACATTGTACAACTAAAGAGAAAAAAAAAGTAATGCATGGATTCACCGTTAACTCTGATAACCTACTTAAAATTTAAGCGAAAATCGTTTTCACATACACCACAAACACATGTATAAATAGAGTAATGGTATTTGAGCGTTTGGTGACAACACGAAATCGAGTAAAAACGAATTGACGGAATTTAAGTAATTGATCGATTGCGACAAATCATGAGAGTCCATTTACGCTGTAAGTCAAATGCAAATTTCTACAAAAATCACGACGACAGAAACTAAAAAGTTTACAGTTTTGCTGCATATACGACATAGTGAGTGAACACACTTGAGACATATAAGATAAGACGTTTGAATCAATTCAACCGGAAATAATTGGCTGCGCTGTGTCGAAAAAAAAAACGCAGGTGTTACGTTAGCTCTGTATTTGGTTCGTTAGCGAACGAGAGCAAAGAAACACACAACAAAACGAAGCGAAAAAAAAGTGAAAATGAAACCAAAATCAAACGAGACGAACGAACAACAGCAAAAAAAAAAAAACAAATATATCCATCGCACACAATCGAATATTTGGCATACAAATGAGCCAAGCTTATTGTTGAACCAAACTCGAATTGACCATGAATAATGTGCATCAGTCCAATATCGAATTTTATGCGGTCGTTCAGTTTAACTTATTATAATCAATACCACTTTTGTCGCTGCCGATAAAATCATTTTTTATGCGGTTGCTTTTTTGCTTCTTTCACTTTTTTTCTCTCAATTTGCTTGTTTGCCAATTGTGTTTTTGAGAAATTCAATGATTGATTACATTTTGGCGATGAGAGAGCACATGTGTAGCATTAAGTAAATGCAGTTCAAATAACTTTGTTATTTTAAAAAAAAATTGTAACGAAAATTTAAACTTACGAATGAATTGCAAACATTTTGAAAATTGATTCGAATGCATTTGAATGCTGCTCATTTATGCTGACCAAATAAATTCGCCAGCATCAGATCATCCTTTTTACTTAAATTTGAATATATGTAT